TCCCCTCCCCCTCCTCATCCTCCTCCTCCTCGTCGCTGGCCACGCCCCCCGGCGCCAGAGGCTCCGCCTCCTCGCGCGGAGGCTCCGCCCACGGCTGCGGCTCCCCGGAAGCGAAGGCGCCGTAGAAGGCCACGCCCCCGTAGTGCACGAGCGCGGCGATCAGGAACACCCACTGCCACTCCTCGCGCGTCTGCGCCAATCAGCGCCCGCCGCGCGCCGCGCGGGGGCGGGGCCCGGCCGGCGGCCAATGGGGGGCGAGAGAGAGAGAGCGGGAAAACAGGGGGCGTGGCCAGGGAGAGCGGGGAAAACAGGGGGCGTGGCCAAGGAGAGAGTGGGAGTTGAAGGGGCGGAGCCAAGGGGAGGGGCGGGGCCAGGCGGGCGGTGAGTGACAGGTGGGGGGCACGAGGCCCCAAATTCTGGGGTCCCCTTTGTGTCCCTCTGTCCCCAATGTGTCCCTCTGTCCCCACCATGTCCCAGTGTCCCCCCAGTGTCCCTCTGACCCTTCCTCCTGTCCCCAGTCCCCCCTGTTGTCCTCTCAGTGTCCCTGTCAGTGTCCCCTCAGTGTCCCCTCGGTGTCCCTCACCTTGTGGCGCGTCAGGGCCCCCACAATCAGGGGACACACCATCCCCTCAGTGTCCCCAGTGTCCCTGTCAGTGTCCCTGGTGTCCCCTGGCAGTGTCCCCAGTGTCCCCTCAGTGTCCCCAGTGTCCCCTCAGTGTCCCCAGTGTCCCCTCAGTGTCCCTGGCAGTGTCCCCTTGGTGTCCCCATTGTCCCTGGCAGTGTCCCCAGTGTCTCTGGCAGTGTCCCCTCGGTGTCCCTCGGTGTCCCTCACCTTGTGGCGCGTCAGGGCCCCCACAATCAGGGGACACACCATCCCCTCAGTGTCCCCAGTGTCCCTGTCAGTGTCCCTGGTGTCCCCTGGCAGTGTCCCCAGTGTCCCCTCAGTGTCCCCAGTGTCCCCTCAGTGTCCCTGGCAGTGTCCCCTTGGTGTCCCCATTGTCCCTGGCAGTGTCCCCAGTGTCTCTGGCAGTGTCCCCTCGGTGTCCCCAGTGTCCCCTCACCTTGTGGCGCGTCAGGGCCCCCACGATCAGGGGACACACCATCCCCGACAGCGTCCCCACGCCGTTGCTCAGCCCCATCAGCACGCTGGCGTAGCGCGGCGCGATGTCCAGGTGGTTCACGTTGAACCCTGCCCGGGGGGGGACAGCGGTGTCACCGCGGCGTGCCCCGCTGTCCCCACGGCGTCCCCGGGGTCCCCCCGCTGCCCACCCGAGATGGCGAAGCCGCTGAAGCCCACGGCCAGCACCAGGAAGGAGATGGCGACGGCGCGGGAGCGCGAGTAGCCCACCACCAGCAGCAGCGTGGCCTCCATGCCAAAACCTGCGGGGACAATGTCATTGTCATTGTCTCATTGTCACTGTCACTGTCACAGTGTCATTGTCACATTGTGCCGAAACCTGCGGGGACAATGTCACTGTCACATTGTCATTGTCACTGTGTCACTGTCACGGTGTCACAGTGTCACACTGACAGCCCATGGCCAGCAGCAGTGTGGCCTCCATGCCAAAACCTGCAGGGACAATGTCACTGTCACCGTGTCACCATCACAGTGTCAGTGTCATTGTCACAGTGTCACAGTGTCACAGAGTCACAGTGTCACACTGTCACACTGACAGCCCATGGCCAGCAGCAGCATGGCCTCCATGCCGAAACCTGCGGGGAACATGTCATTGTCATAGCAGCATTGTCATTGTCACTGTCACAGTGTCACACTGTCACACTGACAGCCCACCACCAGCAGCAGCGTGGCCTCCATGCCAAAACCTGGGGGGAACATGTCATTGTCATTGTCACATTGTCATTGTCACTGTCACAGTGTCACACTGACAGCCCACCACCAGCAGCAGCGTGGCCTCCATGCCAAAACCTGGGGGGACAATGTCATTGTCATTGTCACCATCACAGTGTCAGTGTCATTGTCACACTAGTCACAGTGTCACAGAGTCACGGTGTCACACTGTCACACTGTCACACTGACAGCCCACCGCCAGCAGCAGCGTGGCCTCCATGCCGAAACCTGGGGGAAAATGTCATTGTCATTGTCACATTGTCACTGTCACTGTCACAGTGTCACTGTCACACTGTCACTGTCAGTGTCACACAGTGTCACACAGTGTCACGGTGCCACTGTCAGTGTCACTGACCGCCGCAGTTCATCATCTTGCGCACGTTGGTGGTGGACATGATCCCATTGTCACACTGTCACACTGTGCCCATTGTCACTGTCACACTCACACTGTCACTGTCACACTGTGTCACACTGTCATTGTCACACTCTCACAGTGTCCCTGTCAGTGTCACTGACCGCCGCAGTTCATCATCTTGCGCACGTTGGTGGTGGACATGATCCCATTGTCACACTGTCACACTGTGCCCATTGTCACTGTCACAGTCAGTGTCACACAGTGTCACACAGTGTCCCTGTCACACTGTCAGTGTCACTGGCCGCCGCAGTTCATCATCTTGCGCACGTTGGTGGTGGACATGATCCCATTGTCACACTGTCACACTGTGCCCATTGTCACTGTCACAGTCAGTGTCACACAGTGTCACACAGTGTCCCTGTCACACTGTCAGTGTCACTGGCCGCCGCAGTTCATCATCTTGCGCACGTTGGTGGTGGACATGATCCCGCGGGAGCGCAGGAAATCGGCGATCTGGCCCCCGATGGGCACCACGATGGTCATCACCAGGTGGGGCAGGGCCGACAGCAACCCCACCTGAAACACACAAATAAATTAAATTATTTATTGTTATTTCTTTATCATTACCATTATCATTGTTATTTTGTATTATTGTTATTGTTTATTTATTCAAAATTATTATTATGAATATTATTATTTATTATTGTTATTATATTTAATCATTGGGGCACCACGATGGTCATCACCAGGTGGGGCAGGGCCGACAGCAGCCCCACCTGAAACACAAAAATAAATTAATTATAAATAAAATATATTAATTTAAATTTGTTATTATCGTGTTTAATTATATGGCACCACGATGGTCATCACCAGGTGGGGCAGGGCCGACAGCAACCCCACCTGAAACACAAATAAATTAATAACATTATTGTTATAATTGTTATTGTATTTAATTATCGGGGCACCACGATGGTCATCACCAGGTGGGGCAGGGCCGACAGCAACCCCACCTGAAACACAAATAAATTAATAACATTATTGTTATAATTGTTATTGTATTTAATTATCGGGGCACCACGATGGTCATCACCAGGTGGGGCAGGGCCGACAGCAACCCCACCTGAAACAGAAAAATGAATAAATAAAATTATTATTATAATGGTTATTGTTATTGTTATTGTTGTTGTATTTAATTATTGGGGCCCCGAGCCCCCCAGGAGCCCCCCAGGAGCCCCCCGCACCGCAGAAGGCCGTGGTCGCCAGCCGGCTCCGCTCCAGCGGCGGCGCCCACTTGCTCCAGATGCCGTGACAGGCGGGGGAGGTCACGCCCTGCCGAAAGGGGCGGGGTCAGCGCGGGACACGCCCCCCCGGGGCACGCCCACACGGCCACGCCCTGATAGAGACGTGTAGGCACACCCAGGGACACACCCAACCCTGGCCACGCCCACACAGCCACGCCCCGGCCAATGGGAGTGTGGGATTGGCCATGCCCCAACCGCGCCAGCTGAACACCGAAAGCCACCCAGAAACACCTGAAAATACCCCAAAAATACCCCAAAACCACCCCAAAATATCCCAAAAACACCTGAAAAACAAGTACCCCAAAACTACCTCAAAAACACCCCAAAACCACCCCAAAAAACCCTCAAATCAACATGAAATGTCCCAAAACACCCCAAAGACACCTGAAAACCACCCCAAACCACCCCAAAAACCCCCAAAACCATCTGAAATCACCCCAAAATCAGCTCTGACCTCCACCAGGCCCTGCATGATGCGCATGGTAATGACGCAGGCCCCAAACACCTACAAACTCCCAAAAACACCCCAAAATCCCCATAAAAACCACCCAAACCCACTCAAACCATACAAAAGCCAACCCAAACCACCCAAAAGCCACCCAAAAACCTCCGAAATACCCCCAAAATCCCCACTGACCTCCACCAGGCCCTGCATGACACGCACGGCGATGATACAGGCCCCAAACGCCCAAAAACCCCCAAAACCATCTGAAATCACCCCAAAATCCCCACTGACTTCCACCAGGCCCTGCATGACACGCACGGCGATGATACAGGCCCCAAACGCCCAAAAACCCCCAAAATCACCCCTGAAATCCCCCAAAAATCCCCCAAAACCACCCCAAAACCCCCCAACCCATACAAAAACCACCCAAAACCATACAAAAAACACCCAAAACCATCCAAAACCACTCAAAACCCCCCAAAATCGCCCCCAAATCCCTGCTGACCTCGACCAGGCCCTGCATGACGCG